CGGCCCGACGCGCACCGGGGCAGCAGGCAGGCTCCCTGCCTGCCCTGCCCCCGCGCCACTCCGGGAAGCTGCCGGAACCTGGGGAAGGAGGGGCGCAGGAGTGTGTGTGGCTGTTGCTTCAGGCACCACCCCCAGCAGCTCCCATTGGCCGGGAATGGGGAACCGCGGCCAATGGGAGCTGCTGGGGGCGGTGCCTGCCATGCCCCCGGTGCACGTCGGGCCGGAGCCACTCTAGGTAAACGCTGGGGGAGGGCAGGGGGCCACGAGGAGCTCGCGGGCCGCAGAAAATAACCCCACGGGCCATGTGTTTGAGACCCCTGGTTTAGGACATTTCACCTAGATAGGTGGTGATGAGCTAAAGCATAAGGACCATGTATGGTTGCAACCTTTAACATAGATAAAGAATGTGTTGAAGCAGGGTAGTAAGGGGGGCTACCTACGTTCAGACTCTCTTTAAACTTAACAGGTACACCACAACTTGGAAGAATTGAAATAACCGGTTAGGACAGAAATTACAAATGCAAGAATAATCGAATGTCATTAATATGTATGTATATGTCATCCATATGTTCAAGCATACCAGCCCATAGAGTAAGCGTACCCCAACATTTCAGTGGGTGAGAAAACCACGTTTGGTCATAGGAGTGTTCATGCTCTTTAAGAGGGGTGACTCGCCATGCCAAGCTGGCTTCTTCGTTCTTAGTTCTTTATGATCTTTTGTTTATTGGTCTGTTAGTTTTCAAGTGTACATTTTAAGTGAGTTAATTAAGTAAAAGTCTAAGTTAGCTTTTTATAGTCTTCTATAGTCCTCCCACTCAAGAATTGAGGAACCTCGACCTGAATCTCTTGGCATGCTAGAGGCAAGGCTGGTCCTTTGTCTCTTACCACCAGGTAATCAAGAAAGGATATCAGTATATTAATCAAAAGCTTTGTACATAATATTACATATCTCTAGAACAATATTATTGCCTTTGTAATTCCTGATTATTTTACCATTTGATTACTATTCCATTTATCTCAATAAAAGTTCTCAAGGCTACACTTGTCTCAGTGTGAGTGTCTTTGTGATACATCACAAGGGTCCTTGCAAACTCTGTAGCCTGATTCTGGCACAAGAACCTTATCTTCTGATCAGATTAATTGGCGAGCTTATAACCCATATCTAAAATATTAACCTCCTAAAACCAGGCAACAGGCTTATGCCTTATCACTTGTAATTACTTAAAATCTATCTCTAGTTAATAAACTTGTTTTTATCTAAACCAGCATATTTAGATTGAAGTGTTTGGGAATCTATACTTAAGATGACAAGGCTGGTGCATAATCACCACACAGTGTTGGAATGACGGACTTACTATGAGCTTACACTGTCCAGGAGAATATTGAGCAGTGCAAGATGTACTTAGGCCTACTTACTGCGGTGTCTTCACTGCAGTGAGTCGACTGCTGCCACTCCCACGTCGACTCTGCCTGTGCCTCTCGTGTCAGTGGAGAACAGGAGTTGACGGGAGAGCGCTCGGGGGTTGATTTATCACATCTAGACTTGACGCGATAAATTGACCCCCGCTGGATCGATCGCTGCTCGCCGATCCGGCAGGTAGTGGAGACATACCCTGTGAGAGACAGCCTACTGCCCTCCTTCAGTTCACTCTTCCATTCCAGAGATGGAGGTAGCTGGGCTAAGTTGAGCTTACCAAAACTTGCAACAAGAGGATAAAGTTTAGGTGAGACCAGATACCTATATACATTTGTCTTAACCTTTTTCTCTGTTTGCACTGTACTTTTGGATAAATAAACAATATGCTTGTTTGGATTTAAACTGCGTTGAGTCATTTTAATCAGCTCCTAGACACAGACTCCTGAACAGTTTTCTTGCAGGTGCCAAATGCAGTTTGGCCTGTTATGTTTTACATGGTGGGAAACAGAGTAACCCACTTATTAAGTGCCTGAATGGTAAAACTATGGGTTTCCACCCTTGAAAGAGGTGAAGGAAGCCAGGCCTGTCACCTGAAGGGTGCATTTGAGAGAAATTGCAGTGGGGCCTAAAGTGCAACTTGTCCTGTAACGATGACATTGTTAAAGAGATTGAATAGCCCTGGCCTGAAAAAAGATTTTTCTCGACCATCACTGGAATTTACTCCCTGAGAAGATGATTCTCCACTTGCCACTACTATTTAAGATTTATGGGTTAGCACGTTTAATCACTTTCACAAGTGCTGCATTGATTTTGTTCAGTACTACTATTTTAATCAGAATGTTGTGCGATACTTAGACAAATACTGTACCAGACCTAGGTCTGATGGCAGCCCTGTTAATTTTTATGAGCTACCCTGTTAAGATTTATCAAGTACAGTAACTCCCCACTTAACGTCCTCTCGCTTAATGTTGTTTCAATCTTACGTCCCTGCTCAATTACAGAACATGCTCCATTTAAAGTTGTGCAATGCTTCACTATAACATCATTTGGCTGCCTGCTTTGTCCACAGCTGGCAGCCCCCCTACGCCCTCCCCACAGTGCCTCCCGCCCGCTGGCAGACCCCACGGATCAGCACCTTCCCCCTCCTCCTGCCCATGGCAATCAGCTGGCTTGTGGTGTTCAGGATGGAGGGAGGGGGAGCCTGCGCACCGGGTCCTCGCTCCTCCCCCCTCCCTCCTGAATGCTGCAAGCCAGCTGATTGCCGCAGGCAGGAGGCAGGGGAGGGAGGGGGGAGGCGAGGACACCACGTGTGGAGTAAAGGGGGGGGGGAGAGAAGAGGCAGGTTAGGGGTTGGAGCTTGGGGGAAAGGGGTGTATGAGCGGGCCAAGGGTTGAGCCCCCCGCCCCTGGTGCTTGCAGAGTAGGGGAAGCTGCCACTGCTGCTGCGCAACGTGCTTCTCCTAGCCTACAGCACCTTCAGCCTCCTTGCCTGCCTCATTGTCTGCAGTGCCAGTGGGCTGTGCCTGTGTGGGGTAAGGTGGGGGCACCTTCCAACTATAGTACTGTACTGTACTGTATGGCAAAAAAAAATTCCCTGAAACCTAACCCCCCCATTTACATTCATTCTTATGGGGAAATTGGATTCACCTAACATCGTTTCACTTCAAGTCGTATTTTTCAGGAAAAAGCGACAAAGAGTCCTGTGGCACCTTATAGACTAACAGCCATATTGGAGCATAAGCTATTGTTGGTGAATACCCACTTCGTCAGACACAGGTATAAATATGCAGGCAAGAATCAGTCTAGAGATAACGAGGTTAGTTCAATCAGGGAGGATGAGACCCTCTTCTAGCAGTTGAGGTGTGAACACCAAGGGAGGAGAAACTGCTTTTGTAGTTGGCTAGCCATTCACAGTCTTTGTTTAATCCTGAGCTGATGGTGTTAAATTTGCAAATTAACTGAAATTCAGCAGTTTCTCTCTGGAGTCTGGTCCAGAAATGTTTTTGCTGCAGGATGGCTACCTTTAAATCTGCTATTCTGTGTCCATAGCAGAGGGGCATTGCTGGCACATGATGGCGTATATTACATTCGTGGACGTGCAGGTGAATGAACCGGTGATGTTGTGGCTGATCTGGTTAGGTCCTGTGATGGTGTCGCTGGTGTAAATATGTGGGCAGAGTTGGCATTGAGGTTTGTTGCATGGATTGGTTCCTGAGTTAGAGTTACTATGGTGCAGTGTGTGGTTGCTGGTGAGAATATGCTTAAGGTTGGCGGGTTGTCTGTGGGAGAGGACTGGCCTGCCTCCCAAGGCCTGTGAAAGCGGGGAATCGTTGTCCGGGATGGGTTGTAGATCACTGATGATGTGTTGGAGAGCTTTTAGCTGAGGACTGTAGGTGATGGTCAGTGGAGTTCTGTTGGTTTCTTTCTTGGGCTTGTCTTGCAGCAGGAGGCTTCTGGGTACACATCTGGCTCTGTTGATTTGTTTCCTTATTTCCTCATGCGGGTATCGAAGTTTTGAGAATGCTTGGTGAAGATCTTGTAGGTATTAGTCTCTGTCTGAGGGGTTGGAGCAAATGCGGTTATACCTCAGTACTTGCCTGTAGACGATGGATCGTGTGGTGTGTCCGGGATGGAAGCTGGAGGCATGAAGGTAGGCATAGCGGTCGGTGGGTTTTCAGTATAGGGTGGTGGTAACGTTGCCGTCACTTATTTGTACCATTGTGTCTAAGAAGTGGACCTCCTGTGTAGATTGGTCCAGGCTGAGTTTGATGGTGGGGTGGAAGCTGTTGAAATCGTGGAGGAATTCTTCCAGAGTCTCCTTCCCATGGGTCCAGATGATGAAGATGTCATCAATGTAGCGTAGGTAGAGCGTGGACGACAGCTGAGGAAGCGTTGTTCCGGGTCAGCCATAAAAATGTTGGCATATTTTTCAGGAACATAAGTACAACGTTAAGTGAGGAGTTACTGTAGTAAGATATGCTCTCCTCTAGCAACCTGTCTGCCACTGTAAGAGGTATACGACTCTTTACAAGGAAAAAGAACTGGAAAGTTATTTCTATCTGAAGACTGGGAGAGTGGGGCCCGGTTCCTGCCTTTGCGTGTTACTGCCCTCTAAAGACTCACATAAGCAGCTCCCCGAAGGAAGAAGGAGGGGCTCTGTGGCCAGTAACTGCTGGAGATAGGCTGGGGCAGTTGCAGAACTTTTGATCGCGTAGTGGCAGCACCGTGCAGAACCACGTGCAGCAGTGGGAGAGGAAAAAGCACAAGGTGGGAATAAGAAGAGCGCCACCTGCTGCTGGAAAGGTACGGGAGCAAGTGAGCGAAGCAGTTGCGGAAGGGGGCGGGGCAGTACGCCGCCAGTTACGCACCTGCTGCTCGGGAACAGCGCCTAGCGCGCACCAGCAGCCATGAAGACTGGGGGACACTGCATATGCACCTGCTGGGGTGGGGGGTGGGGGAGTTTTCCAGCTGATACGCATGCGCATGGCTCAGGTTGCTTAAAACCTGTGAAGGCTGGGATTGACAGGGCCAGCAGTGAGCAGCCGGAAGTGACGACGTTGTTCAGCGTAAACAGTTTAGCCGGAGCCTGGTAACCGGGTGGCGGCTGCAGCAACAGTCACCGGCTCCTCCGCGCGGGGCGAAGCGGCAGCTCTGCTTGGGCTGGGCGAGCCGCGGCGGCGGCCGGAGCCCCCAGCTCCCGAGGGTAGCGTTGTCAGGGGGCCTTGCTGCCAGCCCGGCACGGGGCGAGGGAAGCGGCGGCGTGCCCCTCTTGCTGCCCCGGTGCGCAGATTCTCCCCCGCCCGGGGGGGCGCGTCCCTGCCTTCACCCGCACCTAGCGGAGGGGGCGGATGGTGTGAGGGAGGCGGGACCGGGGTCACCGCCGCGGGGGGCTGGAGGAGGACGCTCCGCCCGTGACCCGGGCAGCGGGTGCGGGCAGGGCGCCGCGGCATCGCCCCGCCACCCCCCGGTCGCTTTCCTGGAAAGCGGAGCGGGAGGGGTAGCGGGGTCTCGCTGTGAAGATGGCGACCCCCGGGATGAACTGGCAGCAGCATTACTACGGCGGCGGCGGCTCCTCAGCCAGCGCTGGGAAATTCGCCGCGTCCAGTTCCCAGCCGGGGCTCAGCGTGGAATACAGCCAGGATCTGCACCTCAAAATGAGCAAGAAAATAGCCCAGCTCACCAAGGTAAGCGTCCCTCCCCCCAACTCTCCAACCGTGTCGTGTCTCCTGCTGCGAGCTGCTCTCCGGGTGAAAGAAGGAGCTCGCTCAGCGCTCTCTCCTCTCCTACAAGCCACATTCTTCCGCCTGAGAGGGGCAAAACTGGCTTCCAGTTCCCATTTAGATGGAGATCTTCAGTGATTAAAACCTGGCGGATTAGTCCCTTTAAAAGCTGCATGTGGATTGGCTGCGCTGCCCCTATTGCAGTGATACCTCAATTCCCCAGGGTGGAATCCACAACGTGTTTTTCACCGAATATATAATGAGATTCATGCCGGTTTTGACGTCTGTTGACGGTGAAATCCTAAAGCAAAGGATGACAGCCAGCGAGACAAATAGTTTCAGTTACAAAACATGATATTAAAAATGCGTTGGAAAGCTATAAAGTGAGTCCATTTAACTGTGCTCGTGTACATAGTTTTTCTGTATAACTGTCTGTGTTTAGGGAAACTGACACTGACTGTATTTTGTATTTATACTCTAAAATTTATAGGTTTTTAAAAAAACTTCATTTACATAAGAGGTGAACAAGTCCTTCTAGGTAATTTAAAAAAAAAAAGTAAACTTGGCAGTAGCTTTGCTCTCTATTAAGAACTTATTTTTAGTATACCAGTAGGTTATTTTGAGTGTCCCTTGACAATGAATTAACTTGAGGGGAGAGGGAAGAAGGAAAAATATTAGTTTTGTCTCACTGATTTAACAGCCTTCTTGACAGGATCCTAAGCCCTGTAAGATGATACTGTACATACATTTTGTTAAAAGCTGATATATTAAAGAAACATTGTCAAGGTTAGTAGACTGAAGGGTGACAGACTCTACTGTAGTTGTGATTTGCATATTCAGAATAACTTTTTACAAATGCATGATTCAATTCTGTAATTTTCCTTGGTTTGAAAAAGAATCACAATTCATAAAACACACAAACAGCTTTGCATGAGGGAAATACACAGTGCGTGTTGGAGGGTAAGTAATTGGTAATGAGCCGTTTCAAGCTTCATGTAGCTTATATTTAAACAAGAAGTTAAAAAATCCATAAATAATAAACATATTGGTATCCTTCAAATATCTGCTAAACTGGAAGAAGAAAACATTTCATCTCAGTTCAGCTTGTTTGCTGAACAGAAATAGAGAATTTTTTGGTAGGAAGTTTATGGTGGTCATGCAGGCCATACCAAATTGTCTGTGTATCTAGTTTGAATGAAATAAAGGCAAATATTTACCAGAGTCAGTTAATGTAGACAGCAAAAACGAATTATTTTGACAAGTCAGATTTTCTTTCTTTTCTAGTTATTGACCTGATTCTTGCTCACATTGACCTCAGTTAGAGAGTGAAATACAGTTCAAACCAGTCAAATAACGGCTATAGTTAAGCTTATTTTTGACATAGCTCACTTAAAACTTAAATTGTGGTTTAAAACTAAGATAATACAATTAGTAGTTTTTTATCTTTGGTCACCATGTATGAAGAGTGTCCAGGTGACACTTAAATTGGCTTACAACACTTTTAGGAATTTAAGTTGTGATATGTATGTGGGAATATTTGTACAGACTAATTCCCATTTGTGTACAGTTTTAGGTTTATTTCCTTTTCTTATTTCAGTAGTTTGCATAGCGTTTAATTGTCATCAGAAGCATATTTCATTTCCATATTAAAATAGATTAAAATAGTCTTTTGAGTTCTATGTCATTGAGCATATGCTATACATTCTGAGGTACTCAAAGCACTAAAGTAGCTCTGCATTCAGGGATTTTATGCAGGTAAATATTCAGGAATCTGGTGTATTGTAGTCTTACCCTTAATATCTTTCAATACAGTAGTTTATCAAAACTAATGCTTCAGTTTATTTTAAGGTTCATGTTGCTATAAGATGAACCCAATAATACATTTATATATATATATGTAGTCTTCTTATTTCCAAGGATCCCAGAACATTTTATAAAGCGAAGTACAGTATGTGGGTCACCCTTCAGGTTGTGTATTTGAAAAAGGTTGGTTTAATTTACAGGTTAATGGCTTGTCTATACAGAGAATTTATCAATGGCAAGTTGGGATTCAAATCTGCAGACTGGCTTGCCTTGCTCTGACCATGTGGACCCTGCTTTTGTACACTAAAAGTTCAGAGTGCAGAATCGTTAGTGCACAGTAGCAGGATCCACATAGCTATGTAGTGTGCGGCAAGCTATTGCGGTGTAAACACGGTGTAAACCAACTTGCACGTACTCTCTGTATAGGCAAGCCCAACAGCCCCAGAGCTGCAAGGATTTGTGTGTGAACCTTTACAGGGTCAGTGTTCATATTTGTTTCCTGGCAATACTGTGAGGTTCTACTGGCCTTTTTGGTAATAGACTCTTGTTCCAGAGTGGAAGTTTTGCAGGGGATTGAGTTGTAGAGTAGAGGAACTCACAGAAATTGACTTGTCGCGAGCCCCGTGTCACTGGAGTAAACCAGGAGGGCTCAGGGCTAGAGTACCTCTGCCTCACTGCTGGTACGATAATGGTAAGAGCAGTGATCAGTTTCTTAGGTAGCAAGGTTCCACATCTTTTAGGGCTGTAGGTCAAAAACACCTTAAACTCCATCCATAAGCTTCTTGACAACCAGTGCAAACTATGGAACACTGAGATTATTATTATTTGTAGTAGTATTTCAGCACCTTGGAGCTCCAGGTATGGACCAGGACCCCATTAAGCTAGGTGCTGTACATCCATGGAACAGACTGTCCCTGACCCAAAGAGCTTATAATTTAAGTAGTTTTTCTGTAAGGTGAAAAGACACATTGAACTGTTGTACGGCTTGCATCTGAGAATATGCAGACATGTTTGTATGTGACTGAAGATATAATTTTAAGGTCACTTGGACCTTTTGTTAAAACTTCAAGACAGAGCCAGAAAATTATCTTAAATTGTAATCCAGGTGTTCAGGCAATTTTAGGGCTAGGACTGCCATGCATACATCACTACAGGATAACAGTAACTTGTGTTTTTTATTCAGTGTCTGAATAAAAGCAAGTTCCAAGCAAACTAATACTTTTTTTTTTTCCTCCACAGCAAGCAGTGATTTCATACTGCTTTGATATTCAGGCATGCAGTTGGTCAAATGTACATATGCAATCGCATATAATCACAGATTATTTCTTGATGGCATGCTTTAATTTTGTTGTCAGATACTATTTTATCTTCTAAACTGGTACACAGATCTTCTGAAGTGCCTAGAAATAAGGAGCTTAAGCCAAATAGGAAGGACTAAAATTGCTTCAGCCACAATTTACCACAAATCTGCATGATGTGGGGCAAGGTCTTTTTTTTTAAGAGTTGCATTTGTTACTACTATCTGACCTATGTTTTCCCCTTACATATTTTTGATATTAAGTATTTCAGAATTTTCAAGATATTGGTACGCTAACTTAGGTACTTTTGAAGATGTTAGCTTTCTCTAAGTGTAAGATTTTGCAGGGGCAGAACTAGAATCTGGGTCTGTGGGATGGCTCACACCTCCATACTGCTGCCATGCAGCCATGAAAGGGCCACATGCATTACCACATAGACCCTATGAAGATAAGCATCACAGTACCACCTCAGAAGTTCGGACTCACAATTTTAGTCATGGCCCTTGATTGGTCCATGCACCCTACTTAAGTTCAGGAAGATTCCGGGATATGTCAGTGCAATGAGGTAGACCAGCCAGCTGTACCATCAGACCTGCATCTTGGCTTACTCTTTGACTTCTGACCCCAGCTCGGACCCTTGGCTTCAGTACTTGGAGTCTGACTCCTGCTTTGCCCCATGACTTGGGTACTTGAATTCTGACTGCAGACCCTGGCCTTGCTGCTTGGATCCCACCCCCTATTATTGGTACTAGGACCCTGACCCCAGGTCCTAAACTCAGGCTACTGCTTTTGGTCTCCTGCCCCTTTTGGCACCAGCCCTGATCATTAGGCCTGACTGCCCTAGCCTTGACACTAAGCAGCTTCAAAAGTGCCTAAAAGTGACCTAGAACCTGAAGCTGATGTTCTTAATGCAATGTATTAGTATCTTATTCTTGTGTGTTTTTTGTCTCGGATCACCCTGTTGTGATAGGCCTTCTATAGAGACATAGAAGGAAACAGTTCCTCCCTTGAGGAGTCTGCAGTATAAGAATTGAGTAGTTCTAAATAAAGACTTCTGTTAGTGGATTACTGTTTCAGTTGCTGCTGCTTCTTCTTCTTTTTTTTTTTTAACTGCATCATCAGAGTCCTTCCTTCAAATGCTTTAACACACGAAGCAGGAATCTCAAAGATCTTGATTTTATATTTACCTTATGAATTACGTGCATCCCTGTGGAGAAAATACTTTCATCCTTCACTATTATGGTTGGAGCTACAAATTGCATTTGGACAAAAACAAAATCCAAATAATTAGCACAGGGGTCGGCAACGTTCGGCACGCGGCTCGCCAGGGTAAGTACCCTGGTGAGCCGTGTGCTGAACGTTGCCGACCCCTGAATTAGCATTAGCTGAGTCATAGGTAGTTTAGTTGACTGAAATAAGTAGACTAGATAATTGGACGAAAAACCATCTGTTTGTACTTCCGTGGGGAGACTTTAGTGTTGCAGATTTCTTGAAGTGGAAAGTTTTAGACAGCTATCAGTTTACAGGTTAATGGGAACCTACCCTGAGAGTTGTATTATGTAAACAGAAGCAATTAGCACTGTTTCAGACAAGCTTGTTGTTCAAAAATAAATAAAAAAGCATCTTGGTGTCAACTACCAGTTAAAATGGTATGAAAGTTGGTCAACGCTCCCTAAATGTCAGGTTTAAATTTTCCCATTCTAGGCTTCTTTGTGCTTGGCTAAGTGGCTGATGTGAAGTTAAAATATTCAGCTGGCAACAACATCTTTTCGTGGAAGAACAGTAAACTCTCTCTTCCTAAACAATTAGAATTCCTTTCTGTCTCTGTCAACCAGACTAAATATTGCCAAAACTTTTTTAGTA